AACTTTTAGCGACGTCGCTCTTACGCACCGAATCTTGTGAGTAATTAAAATTCTGTGCAATAAATAACATAAAGAATATGGAACCGCAAGATGTAAAAAAAATCTCTTTTTTAATATATTTTTTTAAATTTATATTCACTGATGCATACTGTTGCTATTAGTTTACGCCGTCGATCTACTTTATTTTTATTGTGCACAATCGCAGCAACTTGATAAATCCACTCGTGATATTTTTCTTTCATAAGACATTTTTAGACTTTATTTTACACAATACAATTAATATAATAAAAAATGTATCGCTGCTACCCATTTACACAAGCGACGATTGAAATCAGCGCCATGTGATATAGGTACAATTTCACGTGACTTGTTTGTCGCTAAATATGAGCAACAAGCGACACCATGAATACATAGCTTTACCTGTTGTTTTTGGTCGCTGAACACGAATTCGAGGTTAGAAGTATACATTTCAAAATGACAGATCCGAAATATATTCTTAAATAATACATTAACATTTCTCGAAAAATATGATAAATATAAAAAAATGTTTCAAATAAAATAAAAATTTTACGGTTCAGGGAGGTACATGAGAAAATATCATTATTTTATTTTAGGTGGCGTCATTATAAGATCAGATCAAGATCACATCGATTTTTTAAACAAAATTATATATTTTTTTACATAATACGATTCTTCTAATTATTCTGCATATAAAAATATTAAGGTTAAGTTATCAAAAAATCAATATTTTATATTTTATCATGCCATATTTCGATATATATAATAATATGAAATATCTCGTAAACTATTGATTTCTTGATAATGGTACCTAATATTTTTAGGCACAAAATGAGATGAATTGATTGGTGTAAAGAAAACACATAATTGCTTTACAAATTTGTAAGAAATGTATAAACTTACTAATTTCAAAGTCGAGGGGCAACCTGAAGATATTAATCAATTTCGATGAAATTTTACCCAGACTATATTGAGATCCATAGCTAACATTTGGAGGGTATTATTAATCGATTTAAAAACAAATTTTTTTAAATATATATATATATAATTATTATATTACCGTATAAAATATAAATAGCAATTTCGCAACAAAACTATGCGTTACTGCCGCAATAATACGGAATAAAATAACAAAAGTCGCGTATCCCTTTTTCACCTCGTTCCAAGGATGATTAGCCTCAACAATGATGGCCACGTCATTGCGAACCCTTTGCGATATAACATTCCCTTCTTATCTATGCGCTATATCATATTAAAGTCTAAGTCTTATCCGGTAGAACTTTCTCGATATTGTTACGTACTATTACGTCGTAAGATTAAGCGATGCATTTATATGCAGCACGAATACGGACATATGTATTTTCTTCGTGCGACGTACGCGGTAACAGCAACGCGGTTGCAGCAGTGTCTCGGTTAGTCTTCGTAAGCATTAGAGTCTCCCGTTAAAACTTAATAAAATTGGCACATGACTAACAATAAAAGAGCTTTTTTCGAGCAACGCGAACATAAATTCCATTAAAAACTTCACGAATTAATTATAAATTATGTAATCGAGCAGACGACTGTATTTCTTGGAAATAATTATAGCTGGACATCCTGAAGACCGGATTATATTTTTAATTATATTTTCACTTTAAATCGTATCGACAGTATATATAAAGTGGATACATTTATAAGATACGTAGAATATAAAAAAAACACTGCAATCGCGGCTGATGATGAATATTTCCGCGAAAGATCTTTGCATCTCACGGGTTACACCGCGCGACGCACGTCTTGCTTTATGTAACTAAATAAAAAATCGGCAAATCTCGTCATAAGATCGATTTTACCACTGATCCGCTTGTATCTTTTTTTTCTGTTTTGTTCGCGTTACAAACATTTGTATGTACAAGGCTAGGCGCGTGTTTACTATTCAGTCCTAGGGATGATGATTTCAACATGTACGAAGAACACTTCCGCTGATCAATTCGCGATCGGATCACAATCAGGCTATCTGCTGTGTGTGTGTGTGTGTGTGTGTGTGCGTGTGTATGTGTGTATGTGCGCGTGTGCGTGTGCGTGTGTGTGTGTGTGTGTGTGTGTGTGTGTGTGTGTGCGTGATGGATAATAGTATTAATATACATAGAACACCATTATAAAAATGCTTACGGCTAGTTCTGTGCGTTGAATTTCTTAAAATTACGTCCAACCTTTTACGTACAACAAGGAATCATCCGTGTAATTGTTTGAAACGCAGAAACGCCCGATTCCCGGACTCCTCTGTCTCTTCTAATATTTTATTGTTACTAATCAAATGATATTCGCGCATTTATACTTCCCTGTTGTACCTCGCCCGAAAAAGTCGCATTATATTCGATAAAGTCCTATCGCAGCAAAATGATATCTCAGCGAGAACCGCTTGCCGAACTCGCGCACGCGTTCTTTTCCTCGCGAAAAGCTGCGCGAGAGTTTCTCTCAGTTTCTCTCATACGAAGATCGAGAATGTATGATGAATTTAAGGATGACTTTAAAATATGATTAAATCGTATTTTTTGCGCCCGCGACTAGAATCTTTCGAATAGAATTTATCGTCAATATTTAACGACAATCTTTAATCTCCAAAAAATTAAGGCAAATATTTAATAGGAATCTTTACTGCAAATGCAAATCTTGTTTAGATCGACAAACGTGGACAATTCTTATCTCTTAATCGCTATATCTTCCTTCCGCTATCCGCGCATATCCGCTAGAAGACAATAAAAATATATCTCTATTCGTAGCCGACTCGGTCGATATGTTTCCTCTTCGAAGCTGCATTTCGCTCATTTGCAAATGAGTACCCTTACATAAGAAGCTCAAGATTTTAAAGAATACCGTTATTACAACAATTCGATATCTTGTCGTAAATTCTGCAGACATATCTTTATATAGTACGTGTGTGTTTTGTTGAATGCCAATTTACCAATTGTCTATAATATAAACAATGAATCTGATGAGATTGTATTTAATCTGCAAACACAATAAATATGTATGTCAAAATCTGTCTTTTGTGACAATAGCCTTACGGAATATTTTACAGACAGTTTACAGGGATAAACCTAAACGAGATACCCTTTTTTAGTGTACAAAGTGAGAATAAATGCGATCGGAATTATTTATCATTAGCCTTCTACGTGTTTTGATTTATATTTCTACGTTAGGCGTCACTTCCGCGTGCTCTTTTTCTTTCTCTCTCTCGCGGTCACAAAATAAGTTTCCCGTTGCTAAAGAATCGAAACCCCCGAACCGGAAACGTTGAGTCAAAGAAGGATCGATAAATCACCACGGCGAAAATAAATATCAGATTTCTTACTTCCCTAACAAGACTGTCCATCGATTCGATATATCTGATATCTGTCCTAACCGATGTACACATCTGATGGCTCGCGTAAAAAGGTGGAGATCAGCATTCCCGGACATTCTCGCGACTTCGCTTCGTCAGCCTCGTTTCGGCGAGAATTTATAAATCTAAGGTCCCGTATCCCGGACGAGCAATTAGAAACTCTGAAAGTTTTGAAGGTGAGAGTTAATTGCGCCTGGCTAACAAATTTTTGAGGACTTTGTAACTCAATGGGTCATACAAACACATAGAGAGAGACCCCTACACACCCACTCTGCTGATTCCCACTTTTTGCACGCCACTCCGTATAATTATATTATATCGATCTCGGTATGTTTCATTGCTCGTGAGGTTTATCGTTACTCATCCGATCCCAGTTTATTGTGCCGTTTTACCCTCTCTCTCCACAAATCTTGACATTATACACATGGCCTGTCAATATGGGGCTATACACATCGCAGCAACCCTTCTCCCTCCCTCTTCCTTTCCTGTAAGACGTTTACGACATAAACGCGTATTTTAAACATTTAACAAGCAAGTATTCGCAGGACATTGCAAGAACAATCCTCTTTATACGCGTGATCTCGTCTGTCCTCCTTTATCGCCCTACTAATAACAAATCGCGAAGATTTCCAAATCTTATGTCGTAAGTATATGTTATACAATGTATATATTTATATATGTATCTTTGTCTAAATCGAGATGGAAATTCGCAACAAGTTATTCGGTATCATACCACATTCATTCGTGAATTGAACACAATTTAGTCTTTGAGAAAATATTAATACCCGTTGTTAGCTTTAATAAGAAATCGCTTTTTTATAGAGACATCGAAGTACGGATTTTTCTACTCGCGCGAAAATATCATTGATATTATAAAATTTCAGCAATAATTAAACCAAAGCAAAGCAAAGCGTCTGCAATGCAATATATATTCAATATCCACGATAAGTGTGTTTCGAAGAATCGAAAATGCGTGATTCGGAGGAGATCATTAATTTTCTTTGAAAACTCTTGCAAATCACATTCGAATAAAAAAAAATACAAATGCAAATGATTATGATGTGGACATACATAAAATACAAAGCCTACATTTCTTAAAGACGCTTTATGAGATTTCGAATTTGTACGCACTGCATGCATCTGTAAAAATCTGTTTCATACGCGTTATTCAGCTCGATGGCAAATCGACGAAGCTTCCTTTGATCTCGTCATCAGAATATTTTTAGGGAACAATGAAATATACGTGCCATCATCCGGTTATAATCTCCTCGCTCGCAATCGGCGAATATATGTATATGCAAAGCCTATATATCCTCTCTCCCCCTCCTTCGAAAGTCTCGCGTCGCGCTCGCTGCGGGTCTCACGGCTGCGCGGTGCACGCGTTAGAAAAAATGCGTGAGAAGACCATCATACGGGGCCCTATACTAAACGACGGCGGCAGAGTGCGAGTGCACATCGATTAAACTAAACTATGCTCGCGCGTATCGTAACGATGTGTATACAGAATGGAGGAGCTTGGTCCTGGCGACACGACGGACGACGGTGGTGTGGTGGTGCTTGAGCACGGCGGGGACGACGACGACGCGGAGGGCGGCGCCCTCCTCGAAGCGATCGGTACCTAGGTGTTGTGGCCCTGCTGATGCGGCTTGTTCTCCAAATTGTTGGACGCCGGCCGGCCCACGAGGTCCTCGAGCTCGTCAGGCGTCAGGACCGTGAAGTCCCTGCCGATATAATGAGACGCTAATAGAACGCGGAGAATCGTGCGCTTTCTTGAGCGTGCAAATAAGAAAGCAAGATACAAGATTTCGTGAAACAGAACTTTGAAACGGATTTTTTTAAATATATAGCTACATTCTTTTTCAGGCGGAGACTGACTCGACTTTTCGATTCAATATAATCTAACACTGATCTCCGAAGTTTCAAAATATTTACGAGACTGAAAATTGTAAAATCGCTTCATTACATTAACCCTTTAAGGATCGGAACTGTATAACAAGTAATTTTCTAATAAAGTAATTATTTCATCAAATCTCATGAAAATCGAGTAAACAGAACAACAGAATCATGATAATATCAATTAAAATGACATTAAAATGAATCGTGACTGATCAAAAAGACTTTAAATCATTTTGGAGCCATTTTTACGCCATTTTGATGTTATAATGACCTTGTTCTGCTTGGAATTTGGAATATTTCCGAATGTATCTTTTTCTTCTTTTTTTTATTTAGAGCAAGGGCACTAGATGTGGATCGTGCATAAGTTCTGGATATTTATCACATTTAAGAGCCCTTCCTAGTCACCGCGGCCATATTGAACTCATGATGTCAGAAGCGAGAAACAGCAAGAAATGACACGTAAAAATTTGTTGCGTGCTATTTTTAAATAAAGAGGATTTGGATAAAATTAATAAATAGGATCGCTTTAGAAAACTTGTAAAAATGGATGGAAACTATCCTTTTCCTCCCTGAAAGTCAGTAAATAGTCGTAAAAGGCACGTAAAGTGAAGCTTATTCAAGCAAAACTCACGATTTGACAGCTGTTGAAAGGAACGGAAAAGATACTTTTACGTATAAAATTCGACAATAACTATAGTTTCCATCCATTTTTACGACTTTGATAAATACGAGACAAGTCATATTTT